ATTTATTATGATTTTTTTTTCAAATCAGTCTCAAAGTATTGTTAGAAATAAACATTGATTATTTTACTAAGTATTTGTGTGTGCTTTCTTTTATGCTTGTTAGAGTATTGCACCGTTAACTTAGCAGCATGCTAATGTAAAGCTCTAATGAAAATCAAAGGAGAAGTGAATTTATTTTTTTTCTTTGGCGTTTTTAGCGTTTATTTGGATAGGACAGGAAGTGAAGTGGGAGAGAGAGGGGGTCGAGATCAGGTAAGGTCCATGAGCTGGGACTCGAACTCAGGACGCCCGAGGCACAACGCCTCGATCAGTGTTGGGGGTAAGGCATTACAAGTAACGTGAGTTACGTAATCAGATTACTTTTTTCAAGTAATGCATTACTTTTAAATTTACAATGAAATATCTGAGTTACTTTTTCAAATAAGTAATGCAATTTACTTTGTTTTCCCATTTATTCATTGACACCTCTCCTGTCCCGTGTTGAGAGAAATTGGGAGTGAGGGGCAGAGACAGAGGCACTTCATTCACCCTGAGGCTTAATTTCACTTTTGGTGTGAAAGGGCCTTTACAGTTGCCAAAAATTTAACTTTTGGGTTTTTGGTTATTAAAAAAACAAATAAGCAAGCCCAGTCCAGGTGACCAAAAGTAACGCAAAAGTAATGTAATGCATTACTTTACATAAACTACATAACTAAGCAACTCAATTCGTTACTTTTTATGGAGTAATGCAAAACTGTAATGCATTACTTTTAAAAGTAACTTTACTCAACACTGGCCTCGATATGTCGGCGCACTGTCACGAAGCTATCGGCGCTGACAGAAGTGAAATTTGTGTTCAGCCTATTGTGCTGCTGATGTAGAACATTTGAAATAGTTACTTATGAACAGTGTTTTTTTGTTATTTATATACTATTATGCTTTTCATTATTATTTGTAATTTATTTTTATTTTTAGAATTTTCAGTTTTAATTTTTATGTTGGTTTATTTTAGTAATTTTTTTGTTATGTTTTAGTCAGTTTTTGACTTTCACGATTATTATTATTTTTTAACTATTTATTTATTTCAGGTTTAGATTTTGTTCAGTAATATTTAGCAATTTTAGTGCTTCAACTTAAACTAATTTCTGTCAGTTGCCAAGGCAATATTTTTCATTTTTCAAAACGTTTTTCATATAATATTTTTATTTTAAAGGGGTCATATGATTCTGCTAAAAAGAACATTATTTTGTGCATTTGGTGTAATGAAATGTGTTTATGCGGTTTAAGGTTCAAAAAAAACATTATTTTCCACATACTGTACATTATTGTTTCTCCTCTATGCCCAGAAAGGAAAAATTTAAATTGCATCATATGACCCCTTTAACTTTATTTCAATTAACACTCACAAGCAAGTTCTTACTATTAAATGAAGATCCACTGATATGCCACAGTCCAGAATGTCTTAAACATATTTTATTAAATTGTGCTGGTTTAAGTTCTCTTAGGATATTATATTACTCTGCCAAAAATAAATAATAAAATAAAATTAACAGAGTCCCTGAATCCAGTTTAGAGTTTTTATCTAACGCAAGCTTCAAAAACTTGATCTACATTTTTTAATTGCTCTTTTATACTATTTCAACTTGTTACTCACCATGAAAATAGCCAAGGAAGGTTTAAACACAATCCAACCAACCAATATCAATAACCACATTTTTTTTTTTTTTTGGGAGTTAAGGATAATAACCCTGTTTGTGTTTCAGTGACAGTTAAGCCACCCGCTAGGTTTTAGAACAGAGCTTTTGTCCTCTATCCTTGAGGTATATAAAAAATAAAGGATTTCTATTTTGAAGCCTTAAAAATAAGCTCAATCTTGCTTGTGCTGAGTCACTATCATCACAGTGTTCCTGAAGGAGCATGTTTTATATAAGCTCTTTGTTGGAACGCTTTGTCATTTCCTGTGTGTCGTCTTGTCCAGCCTTGCTCATCTCATGTGGGTGTTGGGTTGTCATGATTGCCAGCATCTCTTCACTGGCCTGTGCTGATCACCATGTATTTCTTCATGGTTACAAAAATGATTAGCAGGTTACTTTGGCTGTTTAACATTTTATTTGTCAGCATCAGATATGACCAGCTGTCTCTGTTGATTGTCTTTCAGGCAAAATGAAATCAAAATTGATTTTATATACTTTCTTAATATACATTCCTGGGCATGATTTATCAGTGCATGTTATACCAGAGGGGAAAAATTCATCAAAATGTAATAACTTGCTCTGCTTAAAACTGTTAGTTAGTTATTGGTGTTTTGTCCATCAGGAAAATATAAATCAATTATTAAATTGCTGTCAGGCTTGTGCAACAAAACTGATGAACTATTGTATATACCACAACAAATATTATTTTCAAAATTTCGGTCTCTCTTGATTGTCTTTCAAAATCGATAATATTTACTTTTATAAAACACGTTCATCTTTTTTCAGTGGGAAAAGATTCATCAATGTAAAGTGGATTTGTTTGTTTGTTTATTTTATTTATTTTGTTGTCCATCTGGAAAATATAAATATAAATAAATAATCAAATGCAGTAGCTATCAGGCTTTGAGTGTGTTCACATGCACAACCAAACAGTGATGTACTACATACCTGTACACAACAACAAATAATATTTCAACATTTTCTGGCTAAAATCAAATACCACTTTACATATTTCTTCTTGTTGCATATCCAGTATCGCTCAGAAATGTTTCGAAGTCCATTACTGCCACAGAATGTAAAATAAAAAGGTAACTGCAACTTCTCGCAATTCAGAAAAAAGTCAGAATTGTGATAATGTAAACTCAGCGTACTAAGGGAAAAAGTCAGAATTGTGAGATATAAACTTTGACTTTTTCCTCACAGTTCTGATTGTACATTGTACAATTCTGTTTTTTTATTTTTATTTTTATGTTTGTTTTTGTTTCTGCCACGGAATAAAAAAATAAAATAGGTAATTGTGACATTTTATTTTGTAATTATGATTTTTTTTTTCTCGCAGTTGCTAGTTTATATCTCACAATTGCAAGTCGCAATTACCTTTTTTAATTTTATTTTTTTTGTCCTGTGGTAGAAACAAGCTTTTATTGAAATGTCACATTACTAAAGTTATATGCAAATGCTGTTTCATGCTAACTGTACCTGTGCAGTTTGGTAAAGACAATCAACAGTTAGTGTTTCTAATAGTCACTTGTTGTGAAAAGCAAATTGCCATAACGCTGCTAATTATTTTTGAATGTGTGACTTTGCTATTCCAACAGTGCTATAAAGAACATCACATGCTTGAAGTGGGGTTTTTTAATTTCTTGGTTGCACAAACTTTTTTTTTTCCCCTCACAACAATATATTACTGGTTGCTTCAGATGTGGAATGCCTTTTTAATAATTCATTGTCATGGCTACAATTTCTTTTGCTCGAGGATGTGGGAAGGGTTTATTGAAAATATTTACTAGAGCTTTAGATCTTCTTGCTCTGCGTGATGCATGTTTCTACTAGGGCTGTGCAAAAAATCGAATGCGATTTTCATGCGCATCTCGTCAGTAAAGCCGCTCCTGGTCGCATTCGATTTTTTGCCCAGCCCTAGTTTCTACCTTCTCCGTGCCCTCTTTTACACAGCTGTGTGTCATGTATTACACCTGCGTTCATATGTGCATGGAAATCCTTTAGTGTCTTGAGTTTCCTGTCGTTTTAAAATGAATGTTTTCTCCCTCAAAGAGACCCAAATTGTATCTTATCTTCTGATTGTAATAGTTGGGTCAATAAAAAATGAGTTGAGGACTGTCATATATTGCAGTCTCTGGGCCACTTACCAAGGTGCCAGACAAATGAGCAGGTCATAAAAATGGCAGGGTAGGAGCGCCGCAGGGCGATAAAGAATTGGCCACGGACCACAGCTTATCACAATCCGGTTGAAAGACAAGAGGAGAATTCAATCTCTGAACAAGGACCAATACATCAGACACTTTTTCTCTTGTCTTTTCTCAGTTGTGCCTTCCTTTCTGGGTCTCCTTTGAGAAATCTGTAGAGCACATTAAAGGGAAAGGGAACCAAAAATGAAACTTCTGTCATCATTTACTCATCCTTTTGTTGTTCTAATCTTGTATGATTTTCTTTTTTGGGGGTAGAATTCAAAAGGAGATATTGAGCAGACTGTTCAAGCTGCATACAATGAAACAATGCAAATAATCTTTTTTTTTTTCTTTTTAAACAAAATTTAGCAAGATTTGAGATGTATGCTTAAAATAATCAAATTATTATTTTATAATTTTTAATAATAATAATAATAAATTACATTATTATTAAAATTATTAAATAATGTACAGTTTTACTTCTGAAGTAAATGCATTATTTATTTTATGTTTTAAGAATGTTTACATATTTTTAATGGAAAACTGCAAATAGATAGATAGATAGATAGATAAATCTATTTCAAGTAAAAGCTGTTATTTTGAATTTTCTATTCATCAAAGAATTGTGAAAAAAAATGTATCATGGTTTTCACAAAAACTGTAAGTAGCATGGCTGTTTTTTTTTTATTGATTTCATTAATAATAATTAGAATGTTACTTGATCAACAATAGAAAACACAACATAACATATAACTTCACTACATAACACCTGTGTTCCACAGCTGAAAGCAGAATCAAGAAAGTCATATGGGTTTGGAATGACATGAGCATGAGTGAATAATCAGAATTTTATTTATTTATTTTTTCACCAGACCCGTAGTATTAAAATAGACAGACTGTAATAAGATCACACAGTACAAAAGTGTGTCTAGCTTGAGATGGTTGTAGGTTTAGGGAGAGTTTTATTCCTAAACCCCACAGAGCAGGGCATGTGTAGGGCAGCTCTTGTTTTCAGACACAATGCTCTTTCAGATGAATGCCCTATGCTAGTGCCGTCATTGATAGCTTTGTTCATTTGTGCCCCCACAGCCAGTGAAAATCCACCTATCCCCTGAGCTTGGTAAACAGCGTTTCCTGGCAAACTGTAGCTGATCTGATGAAACGGAGATATGGACACTGTCCCTCTCATGGTAGCTCCACTGGAGCGTAGGATTTTCACAGCAGCCGTGTTGATGTTTTTTATCCTGCAAGAGGGAATAGTTTAAAGGAATCTTCCAGGTTAAATACAACTTTTGCGCTCTCATCAGTGTCTGTGGCACGTTATTAATTATTGCATTTCTGATTTAGAAAATGTAAAGACATGTATTGAAGGGTTCATTTCATAGGAGTAATCAAGTTCCCTTTGATCTTTTGAGATGAAAGAATTTATTGTACTATGAAAATACTCACTTTAAGAATTTAAAACTCCTTTTATTTAAACCAAGCTGCAGAAAAGACTTGTTCTGAAATCTCCAGGTTTTGGGCATCACATCAGTGACACTGATTCAAAAATTTGGTCTGTCCAGTTATGATCATGTAATGAGAAGGCAGAATAGATGATATTATTCCCTTCCTAACAACAAAATGATCATTATAAAAGTAAAACCAGCAGCAGAAAACTTGTGCTGTGTCTGGCTGTGTAGCAGCTGCTGCTCTGCATGTCCTCCCAAACAAATTAAGTGAACGGTGTGAAGTAGGAGCAGATTTCCAAGATTTAGCTTGAAGTGTTTTTGCTTTTTCAGAGCAGCGGTGTTTTCTCTCACCTAAAGAATACCCTGTTACCTCTCCTTCACAAGTATAAAAGGCATAACAGTTTAGCAGCCGAAAATGCCATTTCAGTAAAAATTTGCTGCATATTTATGATGTTAATGATCTGTTAGTAGTCACAATAAAAAAAGACAATGCCCAGTGTTATCCCAAAGAAAATGATCAGAAAATGAAGTTTTATTCAGTAAAGACACATTAAATTGATCACAAGAAACAGACATTTATAATGTTAAGAAAGATGTCTATTCCAAATAAACGCTGTTCTTTTGAACTTTCCATTCATCAAAAATCTTGAAAAAATGTATCTCTGTTTCCTCCAAAATATTAAAAGAATATTTAATTCCTCCCCCCTCTCTGTTGTAAAAAAAAATCAATGATGTCAGTTCATGTGCGATTCACTATGCATATGTTCCTTTGAACTATTAATTTAAGCAGCACAACTGTTTTCAACACTAATTATAATAAGAAATGTTTCTTGAGCATCAAAAGCAGCAGATTAGAATGATTTCTGAAGGGTCATGTGACACTGAAGACTGGAGTAATTATACTGAAAATTCAGATTTACATAACAGGAATAAGTTACATTTGAACATATATTAAAATAGTTATTGCAAAATCGCTCTGTTCAGCTCTTGGCTTTTTTTGTTGTTGCAAGCATGGTACAGAGACACATTGTTGTGCTCAAGTGCACTAACACAGCGCAGACCATTTCAGGCATCGTTCGATTAGCGCCTGTTGCTCTTCGTGTGTTTTGTCTGGTGAAAATCTCAATGTGTTCTAGCATGTCAAGCGGTTTCTTGTCCATTGCATCGTGTTGCTAAGCATGTGCACGCTCAGCCTCCGCGTGAAGTGCCGTGAGTCCACAGAAAACTTCAGCCACTTTCATAGGGAAAGTGATTGCATGAAGTGTTTATCTGTGTTTACTTTAGGTACTAATATGTACCATTTAGAGGTAAATAAGACACAAAGTTGTACCTCTTAGCTTTTGTACCATAGGGTATCGCTTCAGTGAACGTTTTGTACTTTTTTTTTTCTTGAGAGTGTAGAAATGTAGTGGTCCTGTTATCTGCTAAATGTAAAAGAAGTCATTACTTACAGCATTTTATTGTATTTTTTAATGTTGTTATTAATAACACTGAAGTGTTTTTTTTTAAAGAACTCATTCTTTTTAAGATCATAATGCACCTCAAAAATCATTTTTTATCAGTGTTTTATATAGTTTTCCAGTATAAATATCTAAATGCCCTTAAAACAAAATAAACTTTCTTGAGAAGCAAAATTATTGATAATAAGTCTTGTTTAAACCTCACTAAAAGGAGAAAAAAATTTGGCAAAAGGGTAATAAAAACTAGAGGTTGACCAGCAGTAGATTTTACTGTTAACTAAGTTGGACAACACTGGCCGATAACCGATTAATCAACCGATTGTTTTTAAAATTGATACTGAATGAAAACTAAAACCTTACTGAGAAACAATATAAAAAACAGTACTGAAAATAAAGTAAAATAAAAAGTAAAAAAAAACAAACAAAAAAAACATACTGAACCATACTTTTAAAATGGAATAAAATATTTATACAAACAATGTCTCGGACATCCAATCAAAGTATTAAGGAGTTATACGTTACCTTATATGGTATGAAATAAATATAATTGCTTATTATGAGGTGCAAATAAGATGTGCATATGTTTTTGTCTAGCTGTCTGGTGTCAGTTCCTCACCAGAAGTAGCATCTTCACAGTGTGTATGTGTAAAAGAGGAAGTACATATGTTTGAGAGATAAAAGAACACAGATACCTATTGTTCTATTGTTCCACTATTAACTATTAAACTATTGTTCCAGCAATCGACTATCGGTGCCGATTAATCGGCATAACTGATGAATCGGTCAACATCTAATAAAAAAACACTTACTAAAAGATGAATTGTCTGAAAATGAAAAAAAAACTTGAACAGTTCTGCTTTTCAAGTAAATTCATATTGTTTTCAATTAAATTTGGATGTTTTTTTTAATTATTATTATTAAATGTTTTTTTTTTTTGCCTGTGCTTTTTCGTAAAGCAACAATATTTTTTTATATTACTTTTGTTTTATTATTTTATGGTGTATGTGTAAGCAGAATTGAATTAACCAGAATAAACAACTGTTTAACTGAATAAATGAGTAATGCTAAAATAAGAGCAAAACAACATATCATTTAATCTGCTTCGTAATATGATGTTTTATTATTATTATTATTTAATGTTTATTTTTTGCAATATACCTTTGTAATATTTCACTTTTAGTCCATTTAATTAATCAATAAACAAATGTCTTTTAATGTGCAGTGCTTTTATTCTCAATAACAGAGGATTCCTTCTAAAGGACTGCTTTGCCTCTTTGTGTTGTTTTGTCTGTGTTCTTTGCAGGCCTCTTGGACTCGACCCGAACAGCACAAGGTAGAGATTCCGTATCCATGTCTCCATAAACTAAATTATGAAGATAGCCATCAACTCCATAAACCTCTTTCTTTCCCATCAGATCAAATCTCTGAAATCTCATCAGATCTGTCAACTGAATTACGATGACAGCTTGGTTTAATATGAGAGTGGAATGATGTAGTTTTAGTTTTCGCTTTCTATATTCAGTGCATGGCCTCTTTTCCATTCTGTATCTAATCAATTAAGTCATTATGACATCATTTTTCTTTTCATTATGACATCATAAGACTGCATTCTTGAAGGGTTCATATTTTGATAAAGCTTTATAATGTCCTTTTTAGTGTTATGTGATTCTTTTTTTTCTCTTTTAAGTAATTGATGTTGCACAAAGTGCTTTTGTTGTTGTTCACACTGAGACTTTTCCTTTTCCATCCTTACAAAAATAGACATTTGAGGAAACCACCTCCATCCAAGCTTTTCAGAGGGCTGGTGTGCATTATTAAAAAGACCTTTCTGCTGAAAACTGTGGCTCTAAAACTTTAATGATATGGCGTTCTCATGTTGCAAATGAATAAATAGAGCCTTATCTGAGAAGAATGGGAGATAAAGTCTGTTGAATGTGCTGATTGAAATGTATAGCTGTTTGTCATAGAGATTCAGTGTTACAGACCGCGGTCTGACCCCAGTACCACATAAGTAACCAGATTCCAGTGACAAGAGCACGTCCTATGGCACAGGGGGTCACGGTCTGGCCATTTGACCACAGCAGAGAGGGAAACTGTGAGAAAGAGGGCCGGAAATGGGCTGGACGGGGCTCAGCGCTCCCATTAGGAGGTTATTCAATTAGCCCAGTCAGCTCTGCTGGGTGGTTTTTGGATGAAAAGACTTAGCATTATGTAAGCGTGACTCAGTCCTGGGACAACATCGGCATTATTATTGTCTCTGACACGAAGCTTCTGCCGAGTTCATTCATAGCGAAGTTTGTGCAAGGGGCAGCGGCTGACCAGAAATATATAGAGAGGAGTTTTTTCAGTTTCAAGTGGAGCGGGGAATACTAATGTTGTGCTTGATGAAGTCTTCCTCATTACCGTCCTGTCTGAGATTGTGTGTGTGTGTGTGTGTGTGTGTGTGACAGGAAAAGTGAGTTAATTCCACCCATTCTGAGATCTGTTCAGCCCAAGTATTCAGTTTTTTGCACTGCAAATAGTCTCTCTCTCTCTCTAATGAACGAAATTTGAATAGCTGTTACAAATCACTTCCTCATTTTTCTTTCTTTTTTATAAATTTTTGTATCGCTATGCACTAGATCTCAGCACTCTTTGCTGTTCTGTCTTACACTAGTACTGCTTTTTAAGTACAACATGATCGCAACGTTTTACACCTGGGGTGTAAAGTCATTATTTTAGACTAAACGCAACTTTATATTTCATAAATATATATAATATGAATAATAATAAATAATTATATATAACATAAAAGTCAGCAGCGTTGGAGTTACTTTAAAAAAATAATGCATTACTGTATTGCGTTACTCCATAAAACAATGAATTAATTGGATTACGTTAGTTTTGTGTTCCTTTTTTCACCTGGGCTGGTCTTGCTTATTTGTTTTTTAATAACAAAAAAACCTAAAAGTTATATTTTTGGCCACTGTAAAGGCCCTTTCACACCAAAAGTGAAATGAATAAGCCTCAGTATGAATGAAGTGCCTCTGCCCCTCACTCCCAATTTCTTACAACACGGGCCGGGAGAGGAGTCAGTGAATAAATAAATAGGAAAACAAAGTAAATTGCATTACTTATTTGAAAAAGTAACTCAGATATTTTGTTGTAAAATTAATGCATTACTTTACTAGTTATGTATTCTGATTACGTAACTAGCGTTACCCCCAACACTGATAGTCTGTAAGATTTCTCTTTGGAAGAAATTAGTACTTTTATTTAAAAAAGATTTCCATTTCATAATAAATGCTGTTATTGTGAACTTTTATATTTATCAAATATAATCAAATATCAAATAGTTATTTTGAATTATAATAATATTTCACAATGTTATAGTTTTTAATGTATTTTAACAAATGCAGCCTTGCTGAGCATAAGAAATCTTTCAAAAGCATTAGAAAAACTCCAACAGTACAGTAGTTTATATATATAACCCGTATTTTGTCTTGTTTTCCAGTAACATATCTAAACATCCTTACGTGTCAAATCAAACATTTATGTATAAAGCAAAATAACATTCTTTTGTTTAGTTTTCTCAACTCAACCTGTGGGTCGGATTAGACTCCTCCACAAGCTGTATCCCCCCCCCGTGGGCCCCTGTGTGTTTGACATATGCAAATATGCAAATTGCACAGTCATTGAGGAGACGTTGGTTATAGATGCCACTCATCTTCATAAGAACCACAAGGTTAAGTGGAACAGCAAGCTAAAAGAAAATGCAAGCGTGGCATGTTAAGATCTATGCTTGTCTTTAAAATGAGCACTGGGATGTTGTAAAATGGTCCAAGCCAGCTGAGATCATGTGACATTGCTTTTGAAGTAACAACGGATTAGAAATTGCTTCCCCTACCTTATGGTCTGCATTATTGATGTTCCCCCCTCACATGTTCGTTCCAAGACTCAGCACATAAAAGACTCTTATTTATATCTGCTGTTCAGCAAACCTTCTTTTTACCGGGTTTGCTTCTCTGATACAGCCTGTTTCAGTCCTCACATACTTAAAAATTAAGAATTGTTCAATTGGCTATTTTCTCTAAAAAAGTAGATAACTTTGTTTTTATTGATTTATTTATTTATTGCATTGAAGTGGCGTTATTTGCAAACTATATAATACGTTTAGGAAGATAATGGCAAACCTGTTTATTAATTTTAAGGAATAGTTAACCCATAATTAACATTCCGTCATCATTTATTCATCTTGACGTATATTCCAAAAGTTCTTTAGAAAACGAAATACTATCAAAAAAGATTATCTAGAGTTGCTCTTGTCCACAAAATTAAAGCATATTATGACAAGAAGCTCCCAAAGGGACCAAAATAAAGTATAAAAGCACCATAAAAGTACCCAAAAATAGTGCATATGTCTTTTGTGCTATATTTAAAGTCTATTGAAGCCATACAGCCATTTTTATGGTGCTTTTTTTTGTTGTTGAGTTTTGACAGCCTGTGTTGCTGGAAAAAGAAAGCCATATGTGTTTAAAACAACATGAGGGTGAGTAACGATGACAGAATATAAATTTCTGGGAAACTGTTGTTTTAATGGCTGAAGGAAGTGAAAAGTATGAGTTTTTCAGGGAATTTTTCTTTCTTGTCTCTGTGTTCAGAATCCTGATGGTGACGTGTTGGTCCGCAGCGACGCCCGTGTGTCTTCTCTCACCCTGAAGTACGCTCAGTACACCGATGCCGGCGAGTATCTCTGCACCGCCCGCAACGCCATCGGAGAGATGGCGCAGCCCGTGTATCTGGAAGTGCGCTGTGAGTCTATAGTATCTGTAGCCTCATTAGCTTCTATCAGTCACACGTACTGTTGCCTCAGAGGCATATGTTTAATTTGGCTGCAGTCCAGAGAGCATATGGCAACTCAGTAGAGAATGCTAGTTAATGTATCAAAACTACAGCCACCCCTCGACATTATCACCCCCCTCCCCCACCTCAGGACACCAATGATATGAAAAAGCCTCCCAATAGACTTCAATCACACAGTGTCCTCACCAAGTGCAACGTGACAAGGTTTGTGTCCACATTGAATGCTGCGTGAGTCAGTAATATCAAGGAATGTAAACTGAGGAATTTTCATTATTAAATTGTCATTCAAATTATCAATTAATTCCACAAAAGCGCATGTGGAAAACTTTCAAATTATAAATAAATTAATATTCAGGGTGCACATATATTAATATTCTTGCTTTTTTTTTTCCATGTTATGGCCAGTAACTGAAAATAATAACTGATGGCTGTTAGATCATGCCTCCATTTCAGAAATATCAGATTCAGCCCCGGATGCCAGATACTGTCAGAAAATATCTGTTTTGTCTGATAACAGAACAACTAGTCAGCAAAATTGTCTAATATCAAAAACCCGTTAACAGCAAGTCTTGTCTGGTTCCAAAAACCAGTGTTTGTCTGGTACCCAAAACTGTATTAACAGTCTTCTATCAGCCAAGCAGTTGACTGAGAAAAGCCAGTGAAGAGCAGAAGCAGGAGATGCAGTGATGATGCTAAAAAAAGGAGCAGAGTTTATTGAATAGTTTTAGTTGCGTATGTTTCAGTGCTCAGTAGTGTGATACCAAACTGCTTCACAACAGCATCCCATAAACCTTGAATTTCCATAAATATTGCCTCTTATCTCTTATTCATGAGGACAAACGTCCCTTGAAACCACACATCATAACACTAAACAACATTGGAAAAATAATATTAAAAAAACAATAATATAATATAAATAACTAGTCAATTAATAAATCAATGAAATGAGTATATAAATGGCTATAATGATTATTATAAATGATTATATGATTAAATGAAATGATAAGTGATTATGAATGAATATAAAAGAAAGAAAGTAAAACACAACACAAGTGTATGATTGCTCTCTTGAAGCAAAGCACACACAGTTTGTATTTGAGGATCCTTCATTCCTTCATGGCAAACAACTGATAACTGATGGCTAATGTAAATTTCACTAATAAGTATAATCCAAAAAATATATTGTGCCTTGCACACCTGAGTCAATCATTGCTGCACTGGATGAAATTACAATATAAAGAAAAATATAAATCCCACACATTACTTATATTTGCATCATCACAAAAATATTTTAATGAGCGACGTTTCAGTCAACCAACATTTTTCACCTTTATAATAAATTATTATTATTTTAAAGATCAACTTTGAGTGTTAGATGTTGGCAAAAGGAATCAAAAAGTAAGAACAGAAGAAATAAGCACGCACAATTAAATATCCAGTATTGGCTGATATTCAATATGAAGTATAGTACTGGTAGTTAAAAAAAATCTCTAATAACAGCCAAAAACCAATATGTAACCAATATACCGTGCATCTCTAATACATTTGCTTAAAGGGGTCATATGATGCTTTTTTAAAGATCATTATTTTGTGTATTTGGTGTAACAGAATATGTTGACATGCTTTAATGTTCAAAAAACACATTATTTTTCAAATACTGTACATTATTGTAGGTCCTCTATGCCCCGCCTCTGTCAAACGCTTCGTTTTCTACACCCCTTTAAGAAATGCTAATATTGGTGTTTTTCTAATACATTTTCAATACACTTTCATTTTGAGGGTGAAATTGATTCATTGATGCTAGAAAAGCTTAATGGATTCAATTATTAACAGTGATTGATTGGTCAACAATATCTGTATATCTGATATTTGGAGCTGAATTTTAGACCAATGATATTTTACAGTGGCTGGGGATACCTAGCTTGACGGGTCATATAAAAACCCAGTGACCGACAAAATGTCCTGTTGCTAATCAAGCTGGTTAGCAAAATAGTGGTTAGGATTTGCATGGAAGAGACCAAATTTATTGTTTGATGTTTTGTTGTCATGTCTGGTTAGAACAATAAATGCCATTTTTGATTAATGAAAATGAGGCAGTTAATGCTAGAAGTTTGGTCTGTTTAGTGCATATATACTGCAGATATTTATGCTTGTGAACAAACTCCAAATATTGTTTTTGTTTGTCTCAAATTAAATATCCAGTAGCATTTAATCTAAGCACTACATTCTGCTAACAAAGACAAAGTTCAGACCAAAAATGGACCAATTTACTTTTGTTTCTACTATTCTTATATTGCTGTAACATCAGAAATGGAGCACTCTCTTCCCTCAATGTCTTAATTGCTATCGATAGCAAACAAAGCATTACCACCCATTTTCGCTCTCATTGTGCTCCCCCCACTGCGTCTATTTGTATTTGTTTTCACATTAGTGCCGGCGTATGTTGTGAAAATACCAGCCTCCCTCTTCGCATGTTTTGTGCATTTGTACCAGGCGTGTATTGTTGTGATGGGACTAATGACATCTGAAGCTCTGATGAATGTGAGAACAGTATCTCAGCGGGCCGGGAGCTATTCACACGCAGTCTGTGAAGGAACGCGGGCCCAATCGCGTACATCATGTGAGCATCGTGCCTGAAGTCTCCCCCCAGCATGCTATTCAGGGACGCTGCTCGGAGGAGGGGCCTTTTGAAGCCAGTGAAGCGTGATTGGCTTTTATGTACTGCCGTGAACAGATGTGTTCAACATCACACAGCGCTGTGTTTTCAGCACTCTACGTTTAAGCCCTGGACATTTTGATCTTTAACCACCGTATTCTCAGAATAAAGGCATCAGCGGTAATGAGAGGGGAGGCTTCGTTCTCCCTTAGCGGATGTAGAGGGGTGGTAGGTAGATGAAGGGTCAGGGCTACCGGCAGGTTTGTTTGTTTTCATTTGTATATGCTTTTCCTTTTATCACAGACGCCCCGAAAATCCTGGGCTCAATAACGGTGTACACGTGGGAGGGCAACCCAGCCAACATCAGCTGTGAAGTGCTGGCTCACCCCAGCAATGTGTCTATTACGTGGCTGCGAGACGGCGTCCAGCTGCCTAACGCTAACATCTCAAATATCAAGATCTATAACACGCCTTCCGCCAGCTACCTGGAGGTACAACCCACGCAGACACCTTCACGAGAACATAAACATTCACATGAACCCAGATGGATGAATATTTCGAAACTGGACAAACAATATGTGCTGCTTAGATTTCGCCCCTAAATAAAAGAAAGAAATGTGGATTGTATTGTATTGTATTGTATTGTATTGTATTATATTATATTATACGTCTATCCATCCATTATCCAAATATGCATATCCTCTATTATATTATATTAGATCATATTATATAATAAAGCTGAAATAAAATATAAATATTACATGAAAATTAAACTAAACAAACATCAGAAATGACTAAAACTAACTTAAAAAAAAAAAAGATAAAATGTCAAACGCATATAACAAAATGACAAAAAATTAAACTAAAATCAAAAAGGCAAAATCACAAACAAAATTGCTAAAACTTTATTAGTAATATTTAAAAAATAAATAAAATGATTAAGCAAAAAAATTTATCGAAATGTTTTTAAAACTTAAGCTAAAATTAAAATGGAAAAATACAAAAATAAAAGATAATTCAAAATGTTAATGAAAACTGTAATAGTATATAAATAACACTTAAATATGACTAGTTTAGACTGGATATGTTCATTCAGTAGGTCCAACCAATGTAATGTTTATTTCCCTTTCAGCGTAAACCCAAATGCTGTTTGCTTATTGCTGTAGTTAGTTTATAGTAGGCAGGAAAGCAGTCACAGATTTCATGTGAATGAAATTTGAGTCGATGTACACAAGAACGATTTGAACACTCCATATGGTTTTGAAAACGAGCTTCATTTTCTGTATTTTAAATATTTTACCCACTTTTTTTTATTATTTATTTTGATTTTGGGGTGAAATGTGACCGGGACCTGTTTTTGTGAGCTTCACCCAGAAAGGGATAGTGTTGCTGTAGGGCATCACTGCAGCCTATGCGTCTTAGCAATATTTTAGCACAGGGAGAACGCTGTCAGGAGTAAATACCCATCTAATGGAATGACAGTGATAAAATGCATGTTTGAAAGATAAATGCTGAGATAGAGACTAGAGGTTAATGCATTCGCTTGATCTGTCCCAGGTCAATCCAGAGTCTCAGAGCGACTTTGGCAACTACAACTGTACTGCCTCCAATGAGATCGGGACCGAATCCAAAGAGTTCATCGTGATCCCAGCTGGTCTGTTTCTCTGTATTGATCTCAAAACAAACACAATATAGTCATTTATGGCAGTAGAAAATCGCATTGACATTGAGTGTTTGGGTGCTTTTTGCTTTTGAGGTACTGTATTTTTGAATTACCTGCAATTGTAGACTTTGTTCAATAAAGTGCAATACAATAGCTCTTGTAAAAGTGGTGCTGAAGCACAAAGCCGTACAATCAGACCGTATAATTGGGCATAAGCTGTTAAAGTGCAGTTTTCCCACTGTGTATTGTAAAGTGTCTCCCCTGTGGTGCAGATGTGCCCTCGGCGCCGTCCATCACTCAAGTGCAGCCGTACTCCAGCACGGCTCAGGTGCTTTTCGAGGAGCCCGAGTCCACTGGAGGAGTTCCTGTGCTCAAGTACCGAGCCGAGTGGAGAGCCGTGGGCCGAGGGAAATGGGTGCAGCGAGTCTATGAGGTGCAAGACGGTGAGTCTGTCACATAAAATGGAGAAAACTATCCATATTATATGGATTATCAACACTGCATGGTTTGTCGACTTTAATAATGGACTTAAACTGTATCATAGAAGCACAGAATTTTTCTTGTTCTTTTGAAATAAGAGAATAGTATATAGATGTAGTATTTTAACAATCATACAGACCATTTTGGAAACTATACTTTAAAAATTATTAATTCAGAAATTATGGTATTGATGTCATATCTGTGGTCACATTAACATACATTACCATTCAAAAGTTTCGGGTCAGTGAGATTTTCAATGATTTTTGAAACAAGCCTTTTATGATCAATGGTCAATGGTAACCAAAACTATTGGGTTACCAACGTTTTTCAAGATATCATCTTTTCTGCAGAAGAAGGAACAACATGAGGGTGAATAAATGATTACAGACTTTTCATTATTGGTGAAATATCCCTTTAAGTAATGTTTTAGCTATGATGTTGAATGGCAGCATCAATCTACGCTGGGAAGCTTTAAATGTCAAATGTATTTCCTCATGTTCAGTGGCAAGGTTTTATGTTGCCCATTTAACATGCATGCTGTTGTTTATGAATTAATGAATGGGTTTTTGATTACATCTGCTTCTCGCTGCTTCCCAGCAGGACTGAGTTCAGTCACAGTCGCCGGCCTTAAACCCGAAACCGATTACGAAGTCAAGATGTCTGCCATTAACGGCAAGGGCGAAGGCGACGGCAGCCAGTCAGTGGTCTTCAAAACCGAGCATGTCCGTGAGTATCACGTTTCTCTCTCTCAGGAGCACATGGTTCTTTCAACAGCAGCGCAGCGTGGTGTGACGGCCCACACACCTCATCACCAGCTAGTGTGAAGTCTTTGGCTGACGCAGACGCTAAAAGATACAGTTTGTGCTCATGGTGCTAAAGAGTAGGGCGTAATGACCTAAGTAGTTTGAATATTAACATACTTTTCAGTCCCTTGACCAATTCTCTTATTTTACTGAATTACAAATCCGGCATTACAGCATGACATTATATAATTTTAATTAATTAATTTAATTATAAATATTTAATCATTATATTAAAGGTTAAGTGTGTATTTTTATCAATTAATGAATAACTAATACCGTATCAGGGTTATTATTGTTAATTAGAACTAAAACCATTAAAAAAAAAATCGTTGCTTGAAATAAAATAAATGTTAGCTAAATTTCAAATATGTTAGTCTTAAATCTAGATTATTTCAGCTAGTTGCCAAGCCATTTGTCATTTTATTTTAGTTTAACTTAAAGTACTAAAATAACTAAAACTAAAACAGAAAATTGTACGTACATATGTACGTAAGTAAATAAATAAATAAATAAAAAGAAAATAATAAAAAGTATATAGACATTAAAAGACTAATAAAAATGTAAAACACATATAAAAACAAACAAAAATACTATTTTAACTAACATTAAACTGAAAACTAAAAAGAAAAAAAAATTAAATAAAAACTAAGATAGATAGATAGATAGATAGATTACTTTATTTTTTATTTAATATATTCTTATAACTTTTCCCCCTTTTTTTTTTAACTAGACAGTTCCATTTTTAGTAAAAAATCTGACTGCAACTCTGTCACTATCATGTACTCCAGACAGGCTTTTGCATGGTTCTTTTTGAGCAGTGGTTTCTTTTGTGCCTCCCTCCAATACAGGCCAGTATTATGTAGAGCTCTTGATATGGTTGACTGGCTCACCTTTACTCTGTTCTCAGCTGAACTGAACTGAACTCTGTCGCTCCTTCAGAGTAATTGTTAGCTCGTCTGTGACGACTCTCAAGAGTTTTGAAGGACCAGCTTTTCTAGGCAACACCAGGGTGGTTTTATGTATTTGACACATTTTGACAATGTATAAACAGTTCCCACTTGGCTATCCAGCGTTTGCACCTTTTTTTTTTTTTTTTGCACAAGTTATGTATTATTCATCATGAAGAGAAACCTGGTGGTTATTTTAATCATTCGTAGGTAGAAGCCTATGGATTTACTGTTAATGTAAGATAAAAACTGCCACAGCATATTTCTATCATTTCTGACAAGAATATTACAACACATTCACATTAAAATTGCGAATTTTGACTTTCATTGCATAGAAATAGATCACAAAGGACTAGATATTAATGTAATATTAGTAATTCAGTGCAATGAGAACACTGGTCTTGATGCATTTGCAAGTTACTGTGTATAAATAATAAATGCTTGGCAGGTTTATTGCTGCTAAGCACATTCATATTCACTGGTCACACCTTACATAAATGATTTCTTATATCAATAATTGATTCATCTATGAGAAATCTGACTGGTAAGAACAGAACATCTTGTTCTCACACAGGACATAAAATTCTGCCAACATTCCACAAAACATCAATAAAAATCAATCAACCACAAGAATATTCTTGTGATTTGTGTTGATATTCTCATCACGTATAATCACCACACACATCTACCCTCTTACTCCCCCTGGTGGTTGTTTGTGTGATCAGCGGGATGTTTTGGACTTCCAGAGATGCCATTATCACATCATATACTCAACCCATTGTGCACTGGGATTTATTTCCTGTCAGTACATGAAACAAAACCCATTTAGTGCCGAAATCTCCAGGATGTAGTCCAGAGAGTAATGACTCTAACTAAGGTAAAGTATGAGTGATGAGAGAGTATTGCTGTCTGATCTTGTTACCAGCTTTTACCCTTTGACATTTTCAGACTTTTCTTTTTTTTTCATCCTGTCAATTTATGTGATTTTTCCCATATTTTGTTTCCCATTTGTATGTTTTTTTTTTCCATTTTCCACTGGATCCTTTAGGGTATTCTTACACAAGTAAGTCCCCCTGTGATCATTATCTTTTGATATAATTTGTATTTCTTCGTATTTTATTATTTGGTAATATCTTGTCTAGTGGTTATAGGATTTAAAGACCCCATGAAATCAAAATGAGAGTTTTATGGCTTTAAGTCCATGTCTGTTATGAGATCAGCCATATGTTATCGTACTCGCAAAAGTTGACTAAATTAAAATATAATTTTTGTGCTCTTTAGAATGAGAATGTCCTATCCTCTAACATTACCTGCCTCTGATTAGCAGTAGCAAGTATCAAACCATCATGGTTGTGACAAACTAAAGGCTCCTTCCTTTTTCATCAGGAAATACAATAACACATTAAAGAGAATAGGGCTTGTCATGTGTTCTTATGGGGTCTTTAAGTTCATATGCTAGCTTTTTCCTCCATTACAGTTATCAAACTAAATAAAAGTGAACGTTTTCTTTTTTCATCTGCTCCCTAGATGGGATTTTTCATTTTCACACTGAGGACACAGGTTTGTTATGCAGCTGTATGGTGATCTTCATAGTTATCATTATATAGTATTAAAAGTGAAACCAAAAAGATCCTTCTGTAGGTAATATAAAGAGTTAATATTGTATTATGCTCTGGTTTGGTGGCTGCAATAAAGCCTTCGCATGTTTTATCTTTAGGCAACACACAGTTAATCCAATTATAGTACACGTGAAGTATTTAAAGTTTAGCAACTTTAAATATTTCTTTAGTGATTGAGATCCAGTGTGATGTGCTTACAGTATCACATGCTTTGTCCAAAAACGAATGCATGATCCTCAGGTATTATATCAATACTTCAGTGTTTCCTCTGTTTTTCATTGAGAAATATGATTTGACAACTTATCAGTAGTGTTTGCATAAGCAGCCATCACTATCATACAGGATTTGAATAAACCTTTAACTAACTATTACAGTTGAATAACTTATTCCGTACCATTTGTGCTGAGCACCTGATTAACACCTCAAATTGTCCTGCAAAAGCAGTCTTAGTTACTTTAATAAGCATTTTTTTTTACCTGGCAGATGATAAAACTGGTAGAAAAGTCCCATAAACTTAAGAAAGGGACCCAAGCCATATAATGTCATATAGACCTGGTGGTGGGCCCTTTAGAGCTGAGCAGCCATCTAGAACAACCTCTTAGCAACACCCTAGCAACCACCAAGAACACCCTAAGAACTGTGTAGCATTATGTTAAGAACCACTTAGAACAATTTAGCAGCCACATAGCAGGTCGCTGACAACCACTCCGTAAACTTACTGGTAGATAGCAGCCAGATAGCAACCGCCAGAACACCATCGCAGCTGTTTAGAAATGCATTATACACCACTCAGAACTTAAGCATCTACTTAGCAACACCCTAGCAACCAGCAAGAACACGTTGACAACCACTGGGAAAACTTTAACAACCACATAACCACCCGCAACACTTTAGCAACCGCATGGCAACTTAGTAGCAACCACCTTAGAAACACTATAGCAACACACTAAAAACCATTCAGAACAATTTTGCAACTGCATATCGACATGCTGACAACCAACACGCTGAGCAACCACCAAGAACACCCTAGCAACTGCTTAGAAAGAAAGACTTCAACAACCACTCAGAACACTTCAACAACCAAATAGCATTGCAGTAGCAACCACCAAGAACACTGTAGTAACCATGTAACCACCCTAGCAACACACTAACAACCACTCAGAACACTTAGCAACCACTGAAATCACCTTTGTAACCACATAGCAACACATTAAGAAACACTCTGAACAACTTGGCTGGCACACAACCACTAGGAAAAATGTAGCAACCACGTACTGTACCAACCACCAAGAACACCTTAGAAACAGCATAGCAACGTGCGAAGAACCACTCAGAACAAATTTTCAACTGCATAGCAACATGCTGACAACCATAGCAACCAAACAGTGACATAGCTGTGCCATAGCAATCAAACAGAACACTTTAGCGACCACCAAGAACACCCTAGCAACTGCTTAGAAAGAAAGGCTCTAACAATGTCTCCGGATATTTCCACGACCAAATACCAATGCAGTAGCAACCACCAAGAACACTGTAACCACCCAAGCAACACCAAAATAACCACCCAGAACACTTTAGCAGCCACTTAGCAACCCCATAGTAACCACAAGAACACCTTAGAAACAGCATAGCAACATGTTAAGAACCATTCAGAACAATTTTGCATCTGTATAGCAACATGCTGAACAACCACCAGAAACACCCTAGCAATTGCTTAGAAAGAAAGTCTCCAACAACCACTCAGAACACTTCAACAACCAAATAGCATTGCAGTAGCAACCACCAAGAACACTGTAGTAACCATGTAAGCACCCTAGCAACACACTAACAACCACTCAAAACACTTAGCAACACTTAAGCAACCACCAAGAACACCCTAGTAACTGTGTAACCTCCTAGCAACACACTCCACTTAGAAAAATTTTGCAACTGCGTAGCAACACAGTGACAGCCAAGCAGCTGCATAGCAACTGCTGAGAAATGCGCTATGAACCACTCCGTACCAAACCAGGTTTTGTACAAGCACCACTCACATTTTCTTCAGAATATGTAAAAAAAAAATTAAATTTCAGTTGTGCTTAAATCAAACCATATGCTCAATCTCTCAGAGGAAATCCTGCTCAGTGTGTCTGCTTCTGTGCTCAATGTTGTGATCTTTGTGATTAAAGCCATTTTGAGTTGCTTGGTTTTGTGTTTCTCTGCAGTTTGTTCTAACCCTTGAATCTTTTTTTTTATTTTTTCAAATAGTTTACATATTTGTCTGTATTTTTGTATCTTTCATGCAACCTCTTCCAATTTCCTTTCAACCAATCATGTGCGTGCGTATGATGTGACTGTGTCATGTGGCTTGCATGGTGCTGGTGATGTCATCATCCACACTGATGAGCAGAAGGTAAACACTCGTGCCCGGCTCCATCCTCTCATGTACAGGATTAGCCTTCACTCACATCAGAATCACAGCATTTATTCCTAAACAGCCATTATAACTCACTCCTGTCACATTTCTAGAATTAAATCCCCTCAGACAGGTCATGAAAATTCATCCATTCCCAATTTTTAACGGAGACTGTTACCCTTGAGCAACCACTGTGCTCTGACTGCACAAATTATCTTCCGTGGTGAATATACAATCAGGAAAAAAAGTCTTTTCTCTGGAGCTAAAAAAACTCTTCCCCAGAGCGATCGCTGGGTACGACGATCTCGCTCTTTTATGTTCAGTCTAAACATTTTGACAAGCAGAGGGTTTACAGACACTCTACACTGACGTCCTTTCATCTTATGCTGCTTTGAATATGCTGTTACCAGTGTACAATTATATCCAAATTAGGAAATACCTAAAAAATGCTACAGTAGACACTGCGAGTGGTTGAACTCAATGGTTTATTTATTCTCCAGTTTCAAGCATGTTTCAGTAACTTTCACAGTACCGCATTTCCTTTCAATATACCTTTGAACCTTTTAGAGGGGTCCTCCTCTCCTCTCCGAAGTTTGTCCTTTGAAGATCTCGTTGTTTTTGCCTGCATGTAAATTTCATGATGACTCTGTACAGAAAAATATTGACTTTCTTTTCATTGCACATTTGCTTACTTTGCTTGCACACCTTGACTAATGATATAGGTTTTATGATGTTTCTGTGATTGGATATTGGTCTATGTTTTGCTTGTCTTTTTATAAGACAAAAAGGGGCAAATTTATTTAACAGTTGCGCCATTTTACGTCTTATTTACAAACCACAATCAATCTAGTTCAAGCATGCGATATCTGCAGTTAAATAGTGCCATGTGTATTTAAAGTAATAGTTCACTCAAATATTTAAATTCTGTCATTAATTACCCACCCTCATACGACTTTTGTTTGTATTCGGAATGCAAATATAGATATTTTTGGTATTCTCATGTGACCAAATTTTTCAAAAAGTTCAGACATACCCTGCAACCCTGTCCATACATTTCCATACTAGGCGAAAAACTATGCGAGCCAAGTAGTATGCCCGAATTCATAGTATTCATAAAATAGCAGGCGAAAAGTACCCGGATGACCTACTACTTCCAGCGAGATTCTGAAGTGCGCATCCAATAGACAATGGTCTTTACTATCCCATGATGCCATTGGAGTTGTGAAAGCGACACAACTGATAGGTCACATGACAGTGAAAACATGGCGGATGTGGTACATCTGCATTTTATTCATACTACACACATTCATAGAGCATACTTTTTAACAGCCACGGGGCAAATGTAGTTCTGCTGCATTTTATACTACACACATCCATAGAGCATACTTTTTAACAGCCACGGGGCAAATGTAGTTCTGCCATGACATCTCTCGGAGAGTTTAGCATGGTAATATACATGGAAATGTCAAAGTGTTTGGTTTTGGTGGAATAGATCTGCTGCGCTTCTGCTCCTGCAGGGCAAGTACAGAAACTTGCTACTGCCAGTACATCTACAGACATGCTGCTGTGAGCACGTAAGAAATACTGCTGCTGCACATATAACATATATGAGACAACCCCATATAAAACATACATGAAATCACCCTGTAGCAGATCTATACAGGTGGAGCTGGGGAAGGTGGAGGGTTTCTGAAGCGTGCTACAACTGCTACAGCGGGCACTAGCCGAGTATTTTAATGTTTGAGCAGCAAGCTCATTGGCTGCTGATACGAAAAGAACCAATCAGCTGCACCATGTGAATAATGTCATTATGTCAGATTGAGTTAGAACCTATCGGCCTGCGCCATCTAGAGTTTCATGACAGAACTTTGTATTACCTACTAGACAGTATGCGATTTCGGACACAGAAATAGTAAAAGTAATCCATATGAATGGAGTGGTTTAATCTAAGTCTTTTAATATTCACTTTATATGATGAACAGATATAATTAGGCTTTTATTTTCATATAAAGATTGATTAACACACAGAGCAAAGTAAATATGCTAAACAGAAGCTCAGCTGTGCTTGCTTGACACGCAAAAACTAAATTCAGTTCTCTTGCATCAAGATCCTAAGATGAACAAAAGTTTTATGGTTTTGGAATTAAATGAGGGTTAGTAAATGATAAGAGTTTTCATTCTTGGGTGAACTATTCATTTAAGTAATTGTTATTGTATTAACATGCCTCCTTTCTATGTAAACAAGGGTCATGATAGATTGCCAGTTTAAACTGAATTGGCTTTTTTTTGTTCCAATTTGATTGCTGAATTTGAATGAAGGTAGCAAACCGGCTGCAGAATTTCAATTTGAATTTGAATGTAAGGAAGTAAATAAATTTCAAAGAATGCAGCATTTTTAAAAAAAAAAGCAAAGTGTGCAAAGAAAAACTTTTTAAAAAGTTTATAAAGGTTTATAGGCCTTAAAAACCAGGAGGATGATATATACATTTGCTTTTAGTTTGTATTTTTCATCATATTCATTGTGGGTCAGAGTATAAGAACTGTTGAATTCCTGAAATGTATTATCTGTGTTGAACTACAATTCCTTTAATTCCAGCTCAACTTTCTGCGGTTGTGGCCAATTCAACTCAAATTCCAACTAATGGAATTGAAAGCCAAATTCTGAATTTGCCCAATTTGCCCAACCTAGTACTCACTAGCAACCTGCAAATTAGGCCATTGTGGGGTTTGTTTGAGATATTACCTAATTTGATTAACGCCTTTAGCGAATCCGTTGCTAATACAACGCAGTCAGCGTGTGCAAAAAAATGGCGCAATTCATTCTTGGTGATTTCCCCCCAGAATATCTCAATGTAGCTGCCATTAAGATAATGAACATGCAAGTTCATTTGCAAACGTGTAAAACTCTTATTTTTAGTCTCATTTAATTTACTGCTGTTTGCTCCCTTGTGTATATGATAATTTCATTCACTGTATCCTGTAGGGATAGATGGCTAAGGAGGATGGAATTAATCATGCAGTGCTGCACTTTCATTATTTAAGAGATGAGCGTTTATTGATGACCCTTTAAACTGTCAGTCGAGTAGAATAGCTGCTTGTTAATAGAGCCGATCGTTTGGGATTGGAGCCCCTCGCATCAGTTAGTGGGGCTTCTGCCATTTTACATGCTGCACTTTTATGACTTCAGACCACAATAAGATTAATTACTGCATTTTTAGCACATCTCATTCAGTTTTTGCAGTTACGATCATGTTTTGTAGCAGACGATCCTTAGAGAATTTGAGCTGTACCTCTCGGGGAAAAATAAAATCCTCCTTTGTTGGAAAGGTGAAGCTATTGATGTATTGACGACATTGATCATTTCACCACTGCATGGACAAAATTTAGGGTGTTAGTGATTAATATCAGGATAAACAAGAACTCCAAACAAAATTAAAGAAAAAAGATTGTATGAATGAAAGCATCTCTCTCGTACAGGCTAATAGCTAATTACTGGCTTAATGAGAGTAAATGCCTTCATTTTTCCAACCGCGGTGTACACGCGTAGCTTCTGCCTGCAATGTTGTCACTCTGTGCGTCAAACTAATGTAGTGAATCAAACGAGCATTCGCTGGTCATTAAAATGAAATGGATCATGATGGCCCGTGAAGGAGCGGCCTCAGTGAACAGCACCATAGAAATATTCCCAATTCACAGCGTGCTAATACACATGACTGCTCTATAGGGATGTTCACAGTTCACCGTGACCTCCAAATATCAGCCTACTCATTTAAGGAGCCACAGCCAATCAGCATGTGTCATATTATTCTATTACTCACCTATATGGAATCACTGGCGTGTAGGAGGCTAAGAATTGTGGGAGTTGGAAAATTGACAACTTTTAATGCACGTAATTAGTGGTTGACTGGCATTTCATTGGCCAGAATTGCTATCTACAGATTAGGGCTGCACGATAAATATCGCACAATATTTAATGTGCATCTCGTCAGTAAAGCCGGTTCTGTAATCAGCGGTAAATCTCTGCACGTGCGTGCTTTCACGTGGAGCAGCATTTACTACACAGAGCCGTTGTTCACAGACAAGCTGCGCAAAACCACGATCATATTTTGCGCATGTTTTGCGCAGCTTGTCTGTGAACAACGGCTCTGTGTAGTAAATGATGCTCCACGTGAAAGCACGCACGTGTAGAGATTTACCGCTTTCAAACAATTTAAAAGTTCTGTTATTCAACATGATTGACATGGTTATCAGTCAATGTCGAAAATCTCAAAATAGTCAAATATCGCTCTATGTATCGACCTTTTACTACACATAATACCAATATTTAATGCTGATTTTCATTCCTGGTTTGGACCTTTCTTCCTTTTACACATCTTCGTTTTTAAAGGGATATTTAATCTAAAAATGAAAAATCTGTCATCATTTATTCACCTTTATGTCATTCCAAACCGATAAGACTTTTGTTCATCTTCAAAACACAAATGAAACCTAAGATATTTCTGTCCCTCCGTTGCAAGTCCATGCAATCAAAATTTTGACACTTCAAAAAGTTTATGAAGACATCATAAAAGTAATCCATATGAATTGAGCTTAATCAAAGTCTTCTGAAGGGACACAGTTGCTTTATATGATGAACAGGTTTTATTTAGGCTTTTATTCACATATAAAAGCATAGTGCACATCCAATATGGTAAACAGAAGTTGTTTGATGTACAGATTTGGTGGATGACTTTGGTTTCAAAGATGAAACAAAGTCTTACAGGTTTGGGATGACATGAGAATTACATTTTATTTTAGGTGAACTATTCCTTTTAGTTATCATGCTTTTTTTCTCACGTCATTGTAACTGGTTTGTTGTTGTAGGAGAGCCAAGTCCCCCTATACTAGAGGGCACTCTACAACCCAAAGGCAATTCTCTCAAAGTTAAATGGACCAAACAAGATGATGGAGGGTCACCAATCACACATTATTTGGTCAAATACAAAGCTGTGAGTATCCAAATATGAAATATTTTATGTGATCCTTCTTATTTTGGTTGCAACTATCTTAGTTTCATGCTTGTTCGTTGGTACACAGAGGGAAGACTCTGACTGGAAGCCCGAGATCCGTCTGCCTAATGTGAGCGAGTATGTAATGCTGATTGGGCTGGAGTGGGACACCGAGTATGACGTGTTCGTGGTGGCAGAGAACCAGCAGGGCAAGTCCAAGCCTGGCACTCTGACCTTCAGAACCTCATCGGAGCCTGCAGCTACCACAGGTAACCACCATCCATCCATCCCTCCCTCCTTCTCTCCTCCCATCCATCCTTCTCTGTGCTCACCCTCGCTGCTGGTCTCAAGCACACTGATTTTAACAGCTGACTCAGAGCTGTAATGACACCAAACATGCGAATGCAGTGTGGGCCATCTCTTACGCTGCATGATAAACAGTGAGTCATGCTACATGGCAGATCACGAAACACACGGACAAAACACTTGGCTCATTCATATGGGATTCTTGATGCCATATTTCTATAACATAAGATTACTGTGAGACGGTGATGTCAGTTTCCAAGCTGGCCATTCAAGCTGTTTTAGATTTAGCAAAATATGTAAGGTGGGGAGACAGAGGGGCAATTTTAATCACAAACAAGCCAGATGACAATTATTCAGCAAATGCTCAGTAGATTTATTTTTCTGCTTGACCCCAAAAAAAAAAAGTAATTGTTTTACTTTGTGAAATTCTTGTTTTTAAAGTGTATTTTATGTTATATTTATATAT